CTCAAGGTTCCCAATGCGTGGACCACAGCAGCCAAGTTTCCCCCGATATAGATATAGCCGTAGCCAAGACCGATCCAGGGCAACTAAGCCTGATTCAGTCCTGACACCAAGCCTGAACCCAGACCAAAGTGGGTACAAAATAATTAATGCCACCCAGGAACTTGAGATTGCTCTGCAACCACCCTCTCTGCTGCCTTCCCCCAAACTGCGTATTGGTGACTGGCTGTTGTCTGTGTTTATGATGATTACTAATTTGCTTCCAATCCTCCTTCCAAGGAGTCTCTCTCCACCCACCTCCAACCCATTTTAGGCTCCCAGGCTGAGAGAGCCTGGCCCAACGAGCCTTGTGGCTAGGTGGGGATTTGAAGCTGGGCCTCCCTGCTCTGTGCCCTGTGCCCTGCTTAGGAGATGCCTCTTAACCATTTCTGGCAGACTCCTTCATGGAGGAGGATACTTCATGCCTCCATGCAAAACAGCAGCCTCTGTCTTTTCTAAGCTGGTGCGAGTCCGTGTCCCCTGCCCCCTCCCTCAGCTCTGGAGTGCTCCCAGGGCAACAGCTGCAACCCCAGAAAGGGGGTGGGGAGGGTAGAGGATGGAGCCTTCCTGCTGCAATTAATTAAAAGCATGGAAGTAATTACAAGCCCGTCTCCCTAGCCAGCAGTTCTCACTCCAGTGGCTTGATACATTTCCTTTAATTGGATTGGAACTACTGAAAACAGCCAGGTTGTGCAACGGAAACCAGCAACGCACTAGGAAAGAGGCTGGCTGTGGTCGCCCCACCTGCTCCCACAGGGAGGCAGGCAGGCTGTGTGGGGCAGGCGAAGGGAGGAGCCTTTCAGGGCCAAGCAGGAGATGACCAAGTGATGCCACCTGCTGGAGTGGCGAGAGGCTTTCTCATTGCAATTTTGCCCACTTTTGCTTCTGGCCTTGCCCACCAACAGCATGTGTCCCTCAGAAGGGAGTGTGGCCCTCAGGCAGGAAGCGGTTCCCTGCATGAGAAAACTAGCAGCTGATCCCACTCTGCTGTGTCTTGGCATATTTTTTACTGATCCTGGACCTTCTCCCCATCTGCTGCCTCCTCTTGTATCACAGGATATAAAGTGTGTGTGTGGGGGGGGGGCTTTTTCAGGTGGCCCCCTTCTCTCTCCTGCTGCTCTTAGCTGGGACTCTTGGGTTGGGGTTGTCCTGAGACAGCCCTGACACATTCTGGCTTGCTTGGATGGCTGAGCCCAGCCTTTTCACAAGGCAGCAGCAGTGGCAGAGTATTTGAGGAGCCTTTATCCTGAAATGAAGAAATACCTGCAAGCACCGACCTTTTCCCTTCCTGGACAAGTTGGTGGGATCATCAGGGGTACCCTGAAACTCAGTGCCTTGGAGGTGTGGGGCAGAGGGAATGGTAGTTTAGGGCCTGCTTTGGGTTTCACGATGGAAGAAAAAGCACACTATAAACGTTAAGATAATAAATAATAAACCTGGTGTTCTGGGGGTTTCCATTTAGTAGGGTTCTCTGGCTGGTGTTACCTTCAACTCCTCCTTTGAACATGGCCCCCGCCATGCCCATTAACCCTTCTCTGCCACCCCTGCAGGGTTTGTTCTGCAGTACTCTGTTGACAACAGCGAGGAGTGGAAAGACGTCTTCATCACTTCCACAGAACGTTCCTTCAAGCTGGAGAGCCTGAAATGTGGGACTTGGTACAAGGTGAAGCTGGCGGCCAAGAACAGCGTTGGCGCTGGGCGCATCAGTGAGATCATCGAGGCCAAGACCCACGGCAGAGGTGATGAGGGGGGTGACAGGGAGGTTGGGAGATGGGCAGGGCAAGGGCATCTAGAGCACCAGAAGCCAGGCCAGGCAGGGAGGTCAGCCCTGAAGTCGAGACGAAGCAAAGCTTCCATGAAAGCCTTGGGAGTGCCCAATAAGACACTTGGATGTGAAGATTTTAAGAAAATGAGTTTATTTATTTTTAAGGAAGGTTTGAGCCTAGGTGGGGATTGTTGGTTTGGGCAAGCAGGTGGATGGGAGGAGAGAAAGAAATGTTTGCTCCTGGATGTGGCTCCCTCCTTCATTCCTTAATGTGGCTGCAGTCAAGGCTGGGGTGTTTATACTGAAAAAGGGAAACAGCTAAGAGAATGTGCCTGATGAGCCCATCCCATCTGGCTAGCGTTGGTGGAAGCCCACTCCCCTAAATGAGCAAGTGCCCACAACCCTCCTCCAAGACTTGGTCTGCCCCACCCACACCTGCATCAGCAACATGTTGAATAATTTTAAACATTTATACCCCACCTATATCTTCAGAGGCAGATAACAGTAATCAAAAACAGGAAAAAAACCCAATGCAATGCCCTACCTGTAGTAACCTAACAGTGCACAATGAGAAATTCCAGCAGCACAAACATAACACACAGCTGAGCCAGCAATTAACCAAAGGTGTGTTATTAAAAGTCAGGTTAACTACCTGAAGTGGTATAGTGACGGGGCCAACAGACATTGCTCAGCACAGAATAAGTGCTGCTGCTGCAACAACAACAACAACAACAGGAAAATGACACCAGCCTCCTCTCCCGAGGGTAACAGATTTGGGACCAGGCCTCAGATGATGATCTGAGTGTGCAAGGAGGAACATGTGGGGGGAAGGTGGTTCCTAAAGTACCCATATCCCAATCTGTTAAGGGCTATAAAGGTTGAGGCCAGCGTTTTGATCAGTGTGAGAGAATGAAAAGAGATAACTGAAAACTGTGATTGCAAAGCTGCCAGAGGTTCAAGAGCAAGAAAAGTCAAGGGGAGTCCCATTATAGGTTGTGTGTTTCACTTCTAATTGGTTCTAAGTCAGCTGCATAGTTTTCAAGGCCATTTTAAGAATACCGTAAAACAAATGGGGGTGTGAAGCATGAATGAAAATGTGACCCGTGTAAGTTTCATTGCAACTGATGCTTGCTCAGCTTGGCTCTTGGATTCTGGCCTCAACAGGCAGCGCCCACCCATCAAGAAGAGCCAGTGTCTCCTCTGACTCTGGAAACCATCATTTCCCTTCCAGAGCCCTCCTTTAACAAGGACCAGCACCTGTTCACCCACATTAACTCCACGCATGCCAGGCTGAACCTGCAAGGCTGGAACAGTGGCGGCTGCCCCATCCTGGCCGTCGTCCTAGAATACCGGCCCAAGGGCACCTGGGTCTGGCAGAGCCTGCGGGCCAATTACTCCAACGAGGTCTTTCTGACGGAGCTGCGCGAAGCCACATGGTACGAGCTGCGCATGAAGGCATGCAACAGCGCCGGCTGCGGCAATGAGACCATGCAGTTTGCCACCTTGGACTACGATGGCAGTGAGTGGGGGCAGGGGGAATTGGGAGGGGCTGGGGGCAGGGCGGGGGAGGCCTCCCTCTGAGCCAGGGCTTGAATGCCTGTCTTGCCCCAACAGGTACCATCCCACCCATCAAGTCCGCCCAAGGGGAGGGCGACGACGTGAAGAAGCTTTTCACCATTGCGTGCCCCGTCATCTTGGCCACGCTCGGCGTGGCGTTGCTCTTTGTCGTCCGCAAGAAGCGGAAGGAGAAGCGCCTGAAACGCTTGCGAGGTGAGGCCTGGGCTCTCATTGGGTCCCCACAGAAACACTCCAGAGAGAGGGACTGAGTAGCAGCAGCAGAGAGGCCCATGGGAGGGAGATGGGTGCACACACGGTAGCCAGAAGTGTCTGCGGTTTGTCTGCTTAGTTGCTGCAGGTGGCGGCACATGAGCCCAAGCCCCTGGGGAGGTTCTGTGGACAGTCAGCAGCCCTGGGCAGGAAGCTACAGGGGTTTGCGCTGGGCTTTCCATCAGCCAACTCCATGCAAGACTAAGCCAAACGAGGCTGAGCAGGGCTGGAACTTGGCTGCCCAGCTGTGTGGTAGGGGGAAATGTGATATCACTTGCCCCCACAGGACTGGAAAGCACTAAGGGATCTCAGTGCTCCTCCCACAAATGATTGTAAAGTATTTTTGGGGTTATTTCAGGCAGAATATGGCCACTATTGCCTTTGGAATCCTTTTTTTTGCGGGGGGGGGGGGCCTTAGTTTTGCCAAGTTGCAAAGGGTTCAAGCCCTAAAGGAGCAGCTGGGGTTTGGGGTGGGAGAAGAGACATGACTTTGCCTTTTTCCAGTGTCTCCACTCATAAACAGCTACTCTTTTCCCCTTCTTGCAGATGCCAAAAGTTTGGCTGAAATGCTCATCAGGTGGGTATTGACAGGAATCTTTTTAGCACGACACTCTTGTAAGACACATACATTGGTAGCTTCTGGACTTGATGCTCTCACAAACTTTTCTGCATGGGGCGAGGGTGCAGTCCCACTTCACTTAGTCCTCTTACCTGCATGGGCCCAAGTTTTCCCCACAGATGAATCAGGCCTTCTTCCTGGTCTGAAGAACACCATATGAGCACCATATAACAGGGACTGTTGCAGCCTCTTGCCTCAGTCAGGAAGCTGGCCACCTCCTGTTCATATGAGATGTTTCAAGGCAAGGCTGCAGGAAGGGTTTACCCAGCCCCACTTCATGGTTGCTCTTTGCCTTTCTTCTTTGCAGTAAGAATAACCGGAGCTTTGACACGCCAGTGAAGGGGCCCCCGCAGGGCCCTCGGCTGCACATTGACATTCCCCGTGTTCAACTCCTCATTGAGGACAAGGAAGGAATCAAGCAGATAGGTGAGCTCCCAGACCTCAGCAGCCATTTGCGGCAGGTTTTCCCTGGTGAAGTCTTGAAAGGTCACATGCTGGACTGTAAGCTCCTTTTTTGCATCTTGCTGTGGTCACTGTCTGTCCCTGGTCCAGAGTATGGCTTCCTCTGGCCAAGGCCATGTCTGAGGCCAATTGCCTTTGACCTGTGTGCAGGCTCCGCCCCAACAAAGCAAGGGCTGTTTGAAACTAGCACTGCGGTTTCTCCTCCTGCCAAACCTATAGGATGGGACTAGATTCAGGTAGGTAGCTGTGTTGGTCTGACACAGTAGAAATATATAAAAATAATAATTGAATTGTCCAGTAGCACCTTAGAGACCAACTAAGTTTGTTCTTGGTATGAGCTTTTGTGTGCATGCACACAAAAGTTCATACCAAGAACAAACTTAGTTGGTCTCTAAGGTGCTACTGGACAATTTTTTATATATATATTTCTATAGGATGGGAGTAGGCAAAGCCTCACACTGCACCCTGGGCAATGGGAAGAGACAAGGCTCAGCAATTTGCAGTGGATCTTTGCATGTGGCTGAGGCATACACAGCTAAGTCTCAAAAAGTGGGCTTTCTAACACCGATTTTAAGATGCAAGCTCAGTTTCCGAACTCCTTTTCCATAGGAGATGACAAGGCAACCATCCCAGTGACGGACACAGAATTCAACCAAGCTGTGAACCCACAGAGCTTCTGCACTGGCGTTTCCCTGCACCATCCAGCACTCATTCAGAACACAGGACCCCTGATAGACATGTCTGATATTCGCCCTGGCACCAGTAAGTACTGGAGGACAGCTTCAACAGCCAACCTCTTCTACCTCTGCTCTAGCCCCAGCTGGACCAAACATGAGAAAGGCTCACAATGTCCTATCAAGTAGCAAATGTGGGCCACAGTTCAGATCAAGTGTTTCCAAGATCAGGCACCACTAAGGCCTTGTTAGGACTTGCGGCAATGTCAGCAGTGGGGAAGGAAGTCCTTCTGACCTATGTTAAGTCTGTATATTGCACCTTGGGTTTCTAACATGGTGCCTCTAGGGTGGAATCACTGGAGTGGCACTTCACTAAGGAAGCCAGCCAGGTAGGTAGAAGTTTCAGGTAGCAAACAGGCTAAGGAACGTTGCCAATCCCTAACACAACTTCTGCACAAATGGCTTTTTACAAGACGGGAGCAGGCATGTCAGATGCCAATGGCAAACTAGTCCAAAAAGCATATTAACCAGAACTCTAGGCTGAAGGGGCCATCTAGAGGGTAGGCATGCATGCATTAGCCCCATCCTCGTGATCCACCCTGGGACTTTGCCTTCAATTTCTTACCACAGTCAACTTGGTGCGGAAAAAGCTTTTAAGCTGTCTGCCTTACCGGGCTCTGGAAGGCTCTAGTGAGATCTCAGATGGCTCCAGGAGATCTTTGCCTTGCGTGGGGCACAAGGCAGGGACGGTTGCACAGCAGCAGCTCCAGGTTTGCTCTATCCATGATTGTGGCTTTCCACACACACCCCTGGAATGTAAACCACCCCCCGAGTTGTAAGCCTGCTGTACAAGAAACCTTAAGAGTATAGGAAAAATGGGATGGCTGTGGTATTGCTGTAGTTAAGTCTTTTGAAAATGATGCAAGATCAGGAGTGGGGGATCTGTGGGGAGCCTCCAGCTCTTGCTAGGCTACAACTCCTATCATCCCTAACCATTGGCCATGCTGGCTGCCAGGGCTGATGGGAGTATGCGGCATCTGGAGGGCTGCAGGCTCCCCACCCCAGTGTAGGAAATACCTTTTAAATATATTGTTTAGTCGTTTAGTCGTGTCTGACTCTTCGTGACCGCATGGACCAGAGCATGCCAGGCACTCCTGTCTTCCACTGCCTCCCGCAGTTTGGTCAAACTCATGCTGGTAGCTTCGATAACACTGTCCATCTCATCCTCTTTCGTCCCCTTCTCCTTGTGCCCTCAATCTTTCCCAGCATCAGGGTCTTTTCCAGGGAGTCTTCTCTTCTCATGAGGTGGCCAAAGTATTGGAACCTCAGCTTCACGATCTGTCCTTCCAGTGAGCACTCAGGGCTGATTTCTTTAAAGATAGTGCAGCACAAATTATTGGGCCTGATGAAAAGCTAGTTAAATTGAACATCACCTACCGCAGACTTGCATAAATACGATCTCACTGCAGTGGCAGACTATGGAAGCAACAGCAGCGCGGTGGCAGAATCAAGTTATACATTGGGAGTACCTGTCTGTGTTTGCAGAGCCTAAGTGGTGCTCATTCTCTCCTCTTCCAGATCCGGTTTCCAGGAAAAGTGTGAAGTCCGCACATAGTACCAGGAACAGATACTCCAGTCAATGGACCCTCACCAAGTGTCAGGCCTCCACCCCAGCACGAACCCTCACCTCTGACTGGAGGACAGTTGGCTCCCAGCATGGCATCACGGTGACAGAAAGCGACAGTTACAGTGCCAGCTTATCCCAGGATACAGGTGAGTCAAGACAAGCACATGGACTACAGAGCATGCCTCTTCTGGGGAATAAATACAGGCCCTCCTCTCTTGCTCTGGAGCCAAGCTCCACTATCTCAGCACCTTCACAGGGAGTGGGGCTGGGTGATAACTGGTTTTCAACATTGTGATATATCACCATGTCTAAAATAAGGATGGAGCTAAGTAGAGGCATTGGCCAGTTTCATGGTTTCCCCCTCATTGTGATTTTTGCACATACAAAATCATGTTTTGCAGTATATTGTCAGGTGAATATATTGGTTTTGGATATACCACCCAGCCCTGAAGAAACACAGGCTTTTTTTGCCCCAACCTCTGAGGGATGCATTCCTCAGTTTCCAAATAATCTTACCACACCCAGGAAGAGGTGACTAGAGTGCCACGGAACTTCTCCCATGGGTGCACTGACAGGGCCTCCCATTTTCACACTGGTTCTTCAACTCCCAGTTTCTCCTTGCTTCCTTAGACAAAGGGCGGAACAGCATGGTGTCCACAGAGAGCGCCTCGTCCACTTACGAGGAGCTGGCACGCGCCTACGAACATGCCAAGCTGGAGGAGCAGCTGCAGCACGCCAAGTTTGAGATCACCGAGTGCTTCATCTCCGACAGCTCCTCTGACCAGATGACCACGGGCACCAACGAGAACGCCGACAGCATGACCTCCATGAGCACCCCATCGGAGCCCGGCATCTGCCGCTTCACGGCCTCCCCGCCCAAGCCGCAGGACAGCGACCGCGGCAAGGGGGTAGCTGTGCCCATCCCTCACCGAGCAAATAAAAGTAAGTACTAGGCAACAGCAGTCTTGGGTGCTGCCCCTGTCCTGAAATGGAGAGCATCATAGACACGGCTGCACTGAATGAGAGAAAGCTGTGGGCAGCTGTGTAGCCCAGGCATCCCCAACCTGCAGCCCTCCAGATGTTTTGGCCTACAACTCCCATGATCCCTAGCTAACAGGACTAGTGGTCAGGGATGATGGGAACTATAGTCCAAAACATCTGGAGGGCCGAAGGTTGGGGGTGCCTGGTGTAGCCCATAATCCTCAGAGCTGTAGCAGAGGATGCTGTTTTCACATAGACTGTTTTCTGGCCTAACATTTCTTTTGGGTAGCATTTCCTGTTTCAGCAACATCCCTGCCCCCAGTTGCTACCATGGCCCTTGCACTAAAGCGAGGGGCTTCTTGGCAGCCACTGTTCCTTCACTCACAGCTGGTCTTGACGGACTGGACTGCTTGCCACCCTTCTCCCCTGAATGTGATCTGGCTTTGCAGGCTTCCAAGCGCTTGACAGAGCATGTTCCGGCTGAAAGCTGCCTTTCCTTTCACCCTCTTCTTTCTGCAGGCGACTACTGCAACCTGCCTTTGTACATGAAATCCGAAACTTTCTTCCGCAAGCCAGACCTTCATGACCCATGCCCAGTAGTGCCGCCCCGCGAGGCCTCCATCCGGAACCTGGCCCGGGCCTACCACACGCAGGCCAGGCACCTAACGTTAGACCCCAGCAGCAAAGCCTTGGCTGTGCCCCACGTGAGTGCAACCACGACTACCTTACCTCAGCGGACTCTGGCCATGCCTGGCTCAGCAAGTGCTGCTCCTCCTCCTCCTGCCGCCGCCGCCGCTGCTGCCGCCACCACCACGGCTACTGCGCCCGTAGCTGCCCCTGCCTCAAGCACTGAACCTGCTGCTGCTCCCAGTGCTGAGCCACGTTTGCCTCCCCACACCAAAATGGGGGGGTCTAGAGACTCGCTACTAGAAATGAGCACCTCTGGTATAGGGAGGTCCCAGAAACAGGGAGCTGGCGCCTACTCAAAATCCTATACACTGGTGTAGCAATGGACACAAGACAACACAGACTTTTACTCTTTTCCTGAGTTATTTATATTGAAATAAAAGAAGCTCTTGTACAGAATGGACTTTTTTTTGTATAAATGAAACTATTTTCTTCTTCTCCAAACCTGAGGGGGGAAATCAGCCAAGGGTGCAAAGCATTTGGTAATCTTTTTCACTGAAGGTTTTGCTGTTTCACATTGTCTTTGAAGAGAGCACAGAAGTAGACTGTGTGGCTCTCTTCTCTCTCCCTATCAAGCAACCCTGTTGGTTTTGAAGAGACTCCTTTGAGACACTGCATGTTGTTTTACTGTTTGGAAAACCATAGGATTTGCTTCAAGTTGCATCTGCCTCTGTGTTAATACATTTTTATATAAAAACAAAAAGCCAGCAGTGTGCAATAAAAGTTATGTTTCTATAACATCAGAGCCCTTTGTTTGCGGTGGGGCCAGATCCATAATGGCATGTAATGCAGGGCAGTCAAGAACTCTCCTGAATGTGGAAAAAGATCACACAAAGTGGGGTATCCACAGAGTTACACGGAAAAAATAACGTCCCTTTTATGACAGCAGTAATGTCTGCAGAAGAGAAGGAAACTGTCAGAAGGGACACTATAGCATAAGAGCTCTTGCTGTTCTAGAGTTTACTTGACCCAGAGGTACGCCCTGTAGTTCTTTACCTGCACAGTTATTAAAAGGCAGTGCATGTCACTGCGTGAAGCTAGCATGTGAACTCGTACACATGAAGCGGTTCGTAGTTTTATACAAACACCTCTTAAACATTACCAGCTATTCAAAAGCTCAGATTAAATTCCACCTGCCTTAGAAATGCCGTTTCCCTTTCAAAGCAAGTAAAACCCAGCTTGTCTAAAGGGGCTAGCTATACAGGCAACATGCCGCCATTTGCTTCCTGGAAATAGAGCCAGCTCTTCTGACGGGCAGGTGCCAATAAAGGGCAAATGATCATCAGTCTTGGTTTTTTGTTTCTACAGGTGGGGGAAATAGCTGGGCATTTATACATCAGGCACCTAAACTGTATTCTGCTAGCCCTGCTTACTAGCAACCAAGTTTCATAGGGCATGAAGGTTTGCACACAAGATGGCAGTGGTGCAAGACAGTGTCAAATTGAACAGGGCTATGTTCCAAAAACCAATTTTAGAAGCATTTCCCTTAGTTCCATAGCAGAGGGCCAACCTCCTGCCCCAGATATGGCACTCTGCCACCCTCCACTCAAGGAGGGTAAACATTTAGCCTCTTCTATCACTGTGCTATAGCTCATCCTTAACCAAAGCTCTGCACCTAAGCACCAATTTGCAATAAAACCTCACCTAGAAAGCCATCAGCAAATGTGGCACAAGGCCATCCCCATCCAGCAGTTGTCTTACTCACAAAGTGGTCAGGGCCCCTCATGTGTGATTTAGAGACTGCAACACATTTTTAGAGGACGGCAGAAAACTTCAAGACACTCGGCTATACAGAAAAGCTGTCCAAAAGTTGAGTAAAGACAGGCTTTACTAGCACACAAGGGTCTTTCCCCCTTTCTTCCCACCCACCCCTTTCTCCAAAACCCATGCTTCTCTTGCTCCCAAATATGGCGGAAGCTGGCTTCTACTTTCCATGCTTGTGTTGGTGATATTTACGATAGTGAGTCTGGATGGTCACAGCTGCCCTCTCGGTTGGATCACTCACTTCCTCGCTCCTGCTGCTGGATACAGGGCTGGAGTCACCTAGGGATACAAGGGAAGGACAACTCACTAGGAGAAAGGGCATTGCCGGCAAAATCAGAGCAGCCAACACCACCTGGGCCAGGATGGAGAAGGCAGAAAACAAGCCAGAACTGAAGAGGTGACGTGCAGCTGGGAGTAGAGATGCAGTGTGCGTCCCTTGCCGTATTTGGATGTTCATGGTAATGATTACTTGAGCTTCCCACCCACAGGATCCATGCGCTTGGGAGCATGTCTGCAGTGAGAGCTTGCCAAAGATCATGGACCGCCCTTGCTCCTGCGAGACAACACCTGCAGCATTCAGGCTGTCCTTGTAAACTGAAATGCTGAGGTCATGCAGTGGGTTGCCCCTGCTGCTGAGATGTCCCTGAAAGTCCAAGGCACTACTCTTGCCTCACACAATGACCAGTGTGCATCATCTCCCAGCCAGCTACCCTACAGGAAAGCTGCTCTCTGCCTAAAACTGTCTGGCTCGGGAGATGTTGGCTGAACACCCTCACCCTGCAAGTGACACAATGGAGGTAGCAAAGCAACGAGATGGCAGACAGAGCAGAGCATTTTAGTGTAATGCTTATGTCGGTCACTGTCCTTGCAAAGAATGGGTGCTTATCCAAGTTCCCCTTCAACGTCATGGTTGAAGGTGTTTTTCTAGGCTATAGCTAGGCCCCAGAGACAGCTGTAGAAAAGGTGGTGTGCTCATGTGTGATCTGTGGGGCTGGGAGGCCTCCAACTTTAGCACCTGAGGTGAGGAGGGCTCTAATACCAGAAGGCGACTGGAGACCACCCCCACCAGACTGCAGATCTGCAGCATGAACTGCACAGCCACGTGTATTAGGAGCAGATGGTGCTGCCGAGAAAAGCAAAAACACAAAGCAGGTGCTCTTTGTGCTTTCCCCCCAAAAGAGGGGAGGGGAAGCCTGGAATGCAATACCTTAAGCGTCTTCCCACCTCCAGCTGTACAGAATATATTACTGTTGTTGTTGTTATTATTATTAAGCATCTGTTTGTTGCTTTTCACAAAAGAATCTCAAAGCAACTTAATAACCAGACAAAATACAAACAGGTAAAATCAATTAAAAGACAACACTCTGCAAAAAATTAGTGAACTCCCGGTGTCTGAAGGTAGGCTTGTTTTGGGAAGGAGACATTCTGGCAAAGCCCTTCAGTAGTATAGCTGCTTCCACCTAGTGCAGAGACTACGCTGCAATTGGCCAAGCAAAGAAGCTCCTCTCACCTTTTCCTATTCTGAGCTCAAGTCTACTATGGTGTGGGCAGCCTAGTTCATGGCATAGGGCTGCCTCCTTGGCTTCTTGTACAAGGTAGCTGTGCGATGCGGGATGCCAAAGTAGAATAGACTCCTCTATAGACCACACTCCAATTTGGAGTGATCACTCAAAGCCAGGTCTGTATCATTCTTCTGGGGACAAAGGTTGTTTCCTGCAAAGTGTTTGACTCCAAGCCCTGCCTTGTTGCACCCATGTTGCACTCAGTCTCCCTGCGCCCATGCAGTTATCAGTGTAGCAAGGCCCCTTCCCTTAAAAAAATATGCAACTTCACAAAAAGCCCATCACGCCAAAGCATGGCAGGAGCAGAAGTAATCACCCACTATCAAGGGGGAAGGGGGAGAAAAAATATGGAATTTAGTGACATCAACTCAAGAGACCTGACTAGCTTGTTCACCAGTGTTTTGTTAAAAGAACAACAACCCTACTCTTTAATTTTCTCTGTGGACATTACAAATTTAATCTCATTTGGTCACTTGCAGAAAAAGAGTGCATTCTCTGCACCTGCCATTCCAGCTCACCACCTCTAATCCGATTATCATGCAAGAGGCACTGAGAATAGCAACATGAAAAGCCTATTTGCTCAGGACATGACTTTGAACCATGGCTGCAAACTGTCCAGCTATACCAAAGGGGGTGTGAGGTGTGGCCACGGGCATTGGAGGGCAGGCAGGGAGATGTCTCATGGAGGAGGGAAGCATCTGAATGCACAAAGTGTGTGTGTGTTTGGGGGTGGGGGAAGAATCCAGCACGGTCTGAACAGATCCACTGATTGAGATAAATGCTGGAGGAAAGCAGTGTGTGTGTGGAGGGGGTGGGGTGCCTGCTTTTTTATTTTTTATTTAAAGAGAGGCTCCTTCATACACCAAAAACAGTGGCAGGCTAGTTAGAAATCCCCGCACTCAGTGCCTGTTGACCTTGAGTTTGCAGCACTCTCACCTCTTCGTCCTGCGACCCCGTAGATATTGTTCTGCCGAGAACACCCACCTTTCTGGAAAGAAGAAGCAAAGTCTAAACAGACAGACAAGGGGGGGACTGTGGTGCTCCGCCAAAGGGGCCAGCATGATCACTGCTGGCCAGTCATGCTCCAGAGAAGTTCACAGGCAGAGCAAGATGAAAAGACCCACCCCCATTGTATGACCCCACAGCATTTAGCAACCGAAAAGCTGCATGCCACCAACCTGGGTAGTAGCTGCTGATAACAGATGTTCCTGAGCATGAATTAGTTTGACCCTGTTACAAAGGGACCCCGGGGAGAGGCCTCTGGTGGCACTTCCCTTTATTAAGTCTGGTTATTGAAGCAATCCCAGCATCAACTGCTGAGTACAAGTTTCAAGCAAGCTGGAAACAAGACCCAAGTGGGTTTGGTCTGGTTTTTGCTCAGGGTTAAAAATCACTGTTGCTGCAGCAACATGGACCAAGAGAGTCTTCATGCATATTCATGCATGAACAGTTCCATATTCTGCCTTAAGAACTGCCTTAAGGGGGGTGGGGGGGAGCCACAATAGCTACTGTGCTGCAACCAGCAGCATCCTCTTCTGTACTTCTTCCTCTTCTGTAGCCCCCTCCCCTCAAGAGGGCCTATTCCTCCTCCTCCTCTTAGCTTTCATTTGCAGCATTTCCCTCCAAATATCCCGACACCTTTCCAGGAACTGAGCCTTTGTCTCCCTTGCCCTTCTCTTTGCATCCATCTTCATCAGACAGAGGAGCCAACCCAAGTTTGAAAGGGAACAGCCATGCTCATTTCCAAAGCCTCCAGTGGCCGTCACTAGTAGGAAAAGACACCTACCCCACTGTCTCTGCTGGCACGGCGACCCGGAGTCACACACTGGACCTGCCATGGCAAGGGCTGGTGGACAAGGTAGGGCAGCGGCTCCTCCTGGAACAGGCTGTTGCCAAGCTGGGCAGAAGGCAGAAGAGTACAGGTTCGTATTAAGTGAGACCAGGGCTCCACCTTGTCCCTTCCCCTCCAACATACCCCCTCCACTTTTATCCATTTACAGGTGTCACTATCATGAGGGACCCCCATGTTTCAGAAGACAAAGCAACCGCAATGCCCACTCCAGAAATCTCCTGGTGCAGCAGAAAATAGAAGCAGCCCTACCATCTATGGGACTGCAATTTCAGCATCGATTCCTGACAACAAAGGGTCCCCTAGTGGCTTGCCCAGCACCTCAAGGCCTCTCTGGCAGAGCCTCCTCTTGGGCCACACAGGCAAGCCCACCTGCACGGGATTTAGAGCCAGACGAGAGGGAAGTTGGGCCTCAAGGCAGCGCCAGGACCCTGAAGCAAGTCATCCAGATGAGAAACAGCAAACTCTGCTTCCTGCAACTTGGAAGGTGCTGCTTGGGCCAGCCAGAGGCTTGCAGTTTGTGCAAAAGCTCCAGTAAGGAGGTGGCATGGCCCTGCAGCTGCTGGAGCCCCCCACCTCAGCAGCCCAAATCAAGCTGCCTCACTTGCTCCTCTGCTGGTATCACACATGGTACTGCTGGGCAACACCCAGCTTGCAATAGATTAATTTCCTAGAATGAAGCCTCGAGCTCCAGCTTTCAGGAATACCATGTTGGGTGGAACCGGCACCCTCCTTTCTGGTAACATCACAGCAAAACTACTCCCCCCTCCCATGCCCAAATAAACCACAGGGAAGGGAACCATCTTCTGCTTTGCTTTCTGCCATTACTTCCTAAGGCCTTGCTCTAGAATGAAAGAAGTACTGACCTGACCCAATGCTTTCACCATGAAATAAAGTGCTGTCATCAGTGTCCCCAGCATGGTGAGAGAAGTCAAGAAGCCCCCCACAGAAGGCCAGCGTGCCTCAGGTCAGTCCGTGACGAGCCACACTCCTGGTGCGTCAACAGGGCCAGCCGCTGCCAAATGTCCTAATGAGCTTAGAGAGGCGGCCTGTCCTATTTGAAAAACCTGCTGCCCTTGGGAGCCTCTAATCTCCAAACACTTAGGCCCAAAGAGCGTCACTCTCTGTCTCGCACACACATGGAGAGCACTGGGCAGGAGTAGATGCACAGATCAGGGATTAGGAGTCAAGAGGGAGGCTTGTGGTTTTATTTGCTTTCCCGGGGATTGCACTCCGAGCAAGGGGCTGCATTGCCACTGAAAACAGAGGAAGCGTACAAAAAAATCTGCCAATAAAGGGATTCTCTATCTACAGCTTATCAGAAGGCAGAATTCCGTAGCCAGCAAAAGGGCAGTGTGGTTTTGTCTATTGAGTGCATTTCACATTTTTCAGACGTTTGTGGATGTAGCTATCGGTAACAGCAACTTGCTCCTCCATCACCATCCTCCATGAGGGCTTCTGCGTTGACTGCAGAACAGAAATCTGGCAGCTGGAAAAGTGGAAGGCTCAAGAAACAGTGAGTGGATGGGGGATACCAGGTCAAAGGGCAGAAGGGGGAGCAAGTACCCACTAGGTCTAATGCCGTGGAGAAAAAAAGGGGCAAAACCAACACAGATGTACAAGCGTCCATTTAATTGGTATACAAAATACAGCCAGTAGCTGACGGCCTACACCAGTTCTCTTGCCATAACACACACTTTGACACAAGACAAAGATGTAAGCCCTTTCTATTGCCTGGGTACACTCCAGAAGGGGACCCTCATAAAGCTATAAGGTGCTGTGAAGGAACCACAGGAGAGCAGCAGGACAACTCGCAGCAGAGATCTGCATGGAGAAATGTCAGGAACGGAGGGAAGAGAATGGAGAGAAGCCCCTGCGCATGCTGAGCGTGGGTGTTGCTGAAGCACCAGCTCTAGGGGCATCCTGCTCTCTTTGTGCCTTAAAAGCCAGAGCCAGCTGGAACCTCAAAAGTAAGACAGCAGCCAGACATCTGGCCTAAAAAAAATGAGGGACACACACAAGATTAAATTTTCCGGAGGAAGCTTCAGCAAAGAGCTTCCACTACTTTCAGTAGGTACACTGGAGTTCGTATGTGGCCGCTGCCCACCTAATTTTGTGGCTCCAGTACAAGAACATGTGGCTCTGGAACCAGCTGGGAATACAGAAAGCCCCTGCTGTAGCCCTCAGCAGCGTTTGCCCAGCCAGCTCTGCTGCTTGGAAAGCTAGAAAACCTGAGCAGGGAAGGGAGCATGTGAGACCCAATGAAAACTGGAAGATTCGGCAAACTAGGAAATTCAAGTGCAACCAGCTCTTCCTGCCTGGTTTAACATCTGCTGCTCTCCACCCTCATAAGAGTTGCAAACTGCTCACCCAAGCCCAAAGTAGGATATCTGGGCGGGCTGGCTGGCTGTGTGTGTGTGTGTGTTGCAGCTTTGGAAGACAAGACTTGCTTCAGATAAAAATCTTTTGGAATAGAAGCCAATAGCCAGAAGACACTGTTGCATTCAGGACTGGGAGAGGCGGAAGCAGCAGCACAGGCCAAGCAGCTCAAGGCTTCAAGGTTTTGCCATTTTGCTGTTCATGCTCTCAGGCACTGTCCTCCTCTGAAAAATTATCACCTCCTTCCCTCAAGGAAAGTGATTTCACCTCCCGGGCACTTCCTTGGGTTAACAGAAGACCAACCAGAAAGCTACTGGTTAATAATGCTTTGATTGTTTTCCCTACTGAATTCATGGCCTGTCTTGTGCATTTGGACCAGGCAAATCTCCTGCAGCTGCCCTTCTCTTCAAAGAGCCAGGCTCGGTGGCCCGGACGCGGCTCAAGAAAGCAGGCAAGGAGGCTGCCAGGTACAGGGGAAATGCCATGTATTGTCAAGCAGGGAGAACTCCCAAGTCTTTGCTGCTGGGAACTGCCTTTCAGCTGGACTTCGCCCCGTGGTTCAGAAGTTGTAGACCTCGAGTCGGTTGCTCTTGTCCAGTCTGAGCTGCAGCAAACCAGTGCTGCTGGTCAAGGGCTTTGAGGGACTTGGCAGGAGAGGGCTGATGGTCTGGGTGAAGGAAAAGCCCAAGAACAAAGCAGAGGGGACCAGAGGCTGAGGATGCATTCCACTCATGACAAAGGTGATGTAGCTCAGCAATCCTTACAGCAGTGGTTGACTGCATAGAAGTGCCAGAAACTGCTACAGGAAGTCTCCACGAGAGGCAGCTCAGACTGCGCCCTCTGCTGTCAAGAAATTAATTCCCTGCTTACCCACCCCCTTGCTATACTGCTTTAGAAGGCTCAAGGTGATGCGCACAATGCAATAAAAATGATTTAACTTTAAAACAGTACTAAGTAGACACCCAGCTGGGAAAGACAAAAATGTCCACATTTGATTTTCAGAAAGTGCAGATCGTGGGAACCTATCATTCCACAGAACAGGGCCACACTAAAAAACCTGCTGCAAGTTACTGTGGAGCAGGCTGCTGATCTCTTGGGAACCTTTAAGAAAAACTCTCCTGCAGTGACCTGCTTGCTATTATAAGAGATATTGCAGCCTCTCAGGTAGCCTAGTCCTGAGTTGAATAGGGCCTTACATGCTAGCACCAACACGTTGAACTTGGCCCAGTAGCAGGCTGGAAGCCAATGCAAGTCCCGCAAGCAAGGCACTATATGCTGGGCGTAGCTTGTTCTGCAACAGCTGCAGCCTCCAAACCAAGCTCAAGGGTAGCCTCGCAGAGTTCATTGTAGTAATCCAACCTTGAGGTTACCAACTGTTGTCAAGTACAGACTGAATGTAAAGCTGGGTTGTTAAACACCCACCCATATAGATGGGTTCAAACATCATTTCTGCAGGCTATCTGTTTCTTTGAGGAGGTTGCTAAAGTTTGAGCAGGCAACTAAGTGCTTTGAGGTTCTGGTCCTAAGAGAGAGGCCAGGCAAGAACAAAAGGATACACTCTGGAATCCTGCTTGAAGCTTTCTAGCCATTTCTTGTTGGCTTCGATCATGCTCTGGATGTTCGGCTTCTCTGCCCCACGGCGCTGGAGCAGGCGGACTTGCTCACTGTCGAGAAGCAGAAGGGTGGAGGGATGAATAATGAACAGAAGAATGGTCCTTCTGGATGAAGCCAGTGGCCCACCTAATCCAGCATCCTGTTCTCACAGTAGCCAACAAGAATCAACCAAGTGCCCTCAAAATGTAGGTATCAAGGAGCACCCTAATAATGAGGTAGTGCAGCAGTCAGGCAAGGTGGTGTTGGAGGTGGTTAAAGAGAATGAGAGAGACATCCTAGTGGACTGTTCAGGCCACTGCCCTCTCCAAGAAATGTGATGCTGGCCCTTTCAGATACAAGGTGTTCCCACTTCCTCTAATGTGAAGGGAAGAGGGAAGAAGGGTATTTCACAAGACAAAATGATTCTTCTAGAACAGGGTGTAGTGCCTTAGAACAGGGATGCCCAACAGGTCAATTACAATCTACTGGTAGATCCCCGTGAGGTTTTGGTAGATCGCAGTCGATCTCTGGCTCCCCTTCCTTAGCATCGCTAAAACTGACTCCTGCCACGCCCCCTCAGCCCGCCCTCCATTGTTGTATGATCTCTGGAAGGGAAGACGGAGCTTTCGCTGTGCTGCTGTTTTGATCCATAGCAATCTTTTTGTGAGTGACTTTACCCCTTTGTCCCTTGCCTTTAACCCCCCCAAAAAACAGAAATCCCCCCTTTTTAAAAACCCCTTAAAAGGGGGGCTTTTCTCTTCCCTAAAAGAGCTCAACAACCTCAAGCTGAACCCCCCCCCCCCGCAAAAAAAACAGGGGTAGATCCCTGCCAGTTTTAATTCTGAAAGCAGATCAGTCTCTTGAGAGTTGGCCTCCCCTGCTTAGAATATCCAACTATTTAGCCTGACTGGCCAGTTGTCAGCAGTATAAAAATGCCTTACCCAGGTGACACGTAGCCCAGCGTGCCATCCAGAGGTCCAGGACTTCCAGAGGACAAAGGGAACCTGCCTGGAACAGAAGAGAGCATCAGTTTTTAGCCCAACATGGGACTGCCAGGCTACCACTGCCCTGCCACTTGCCGTGCACGCACATGGGTCAGAAGCAACTCCTGCTTTCCCTCTGAAGGAGAGATGAAGCAGGGCATTCAAGGACCTCCAAGGGTCCCTGCAGGGTGCGGGGCTGGCTTGTCAAGTGACTCCTCTGTCTGGGAGGGGCTCTCAAACTTCCAGGCTGAACAGAAAAGAGCAAAAACTTCTCTTGCAAACAAGTTGGTCACCCAATGAAGCAAAACCATAAAAAATGGCGAATGCACTTCAATGTAAGCTAATGTAAAGTGATGAATACCGGGTCAAAAATTCCTAATTTCACATATATGTTTCTGGAGTCTGAACTGGCAGTAACTAAGCAGGAATAAGACCTTGGGGCCATAGTGGATAGCTCAATGAAGATGTCAATCTGGTGTGCAGGAGCCGTGCAAAAGGCAAATTCTCTGTTAGGCCCCATTAGCAAAGGGACTGAAAAATGAAACAGCCAGTATCACACTTACCCTTTGGAAACGAAGATCTCAGGCCGTTAGGTGTTGTTGCTGCATTCAAAAACCAAAGAGAGACCTCTCTCTCCCTGCACCTCTGCCCTAAGCCCCTTCCACTCCATGTATACATTTGCAATTTCCCATTGGCTCATAAATGCCCTCCGAATACTCCAAAAGAACAAAACGCTGACACATTCTCACCTGGGAAATACTTGCGCCACTTTTCCATCAGCATGGCGTCCACTGACTGGCCTGCCGGAGCAGAGGGGCTGGGACCTGAGCCAGCCCAGACCCACTGGGGGATAGTGTTGGGTACAGACGGTGTGGCAGAATGGGTATCTGCCAGAGGGTTACAGGTAGCTATGGGAACTCTATCTCTAGGCAATGTGGAGGCAGGAGCCTGGGTGGAAGTGAAGA